CAGTACTACTGTGCTGAAGGCAATAACGTACGAATGCGAAACGTGATTAGTGGCGAATACTGGCTAAGACAAAGCAAGAAGTGAAGCAAAAGATGCATGGAGTTTCTTTTCGATCAAATAAGCCTCTCCGTTAGAGCAGCAATTTGCGGGAAGTCAGTGAGACACGCAAGAAAATAAAAACCGCTGAGAGGGATATACTGGTTGCTTTTTGATAGTAAGTAGACATTAGTTTTCAGTAAGCAGTACCCGGAAGAAAATAGGGGACTTCCAGCGGCTATCGAAAAGGTAATTTACGAACATTGAAAGACTAGTGGGTATTAAGTGAAGGTATGCATCTCAGGCGACTACGCCCAAAGTCAAAAAGCATTCCAGCAGCATCGCTAAGTGGGATCTTGACAGTAATGTGCCTGCTGGTAATTCTGTATTCTTGGTATAATCCTTCATTACCTTGACAGTTTGTGACTCATCAAATGAAGACCTTAACAAATAGTAAGATAAAAGGATATTAGCAGTGTGTGTAAGCAAAGCTCGCAAGCACAGAAGATGGACCATCTAAACTGACGGCAAAAAGGGCATCGGTGAAAAGACATCAAAGAAATGTATTACTCTGCCGTGTGGCACTAACAACTTCATTATGTGTGCTATGAAAAGTGTTATTTAGTAAACTTACAGGAAAAACTGTCACACTAATAGAAAGACCTATTAAGATGGCCACACTGACTATCAGTGTATAGTGGAACTGAACACGCCAAAAACAATTGAGCTTTAACATACCTCTGAATGATTTCCCGTCTGACAGGAGCCGTAAAATAATTAAACAAACAAAAAACAGTTGCAATAGCGAATGCAACGTTGTATGTCCAAACCAGTGTAAAATTAGATAACCAAATGAAACTGCTATAGGCGCCAACCAAATCGAATGTTGTAATTCCTGTAAAATGGCTATGACTGTCCAAAGATCTGATGCGATGATATAGTGCTAATGATGTTGCGTCCTGATCCATATTTCCCAGTCAACAGTACTCACCATTCGTATTATGTAAGTATACTACTTCAACGGTCATTCCCCAATTTCAAACATTTTTACTTCAGCAATTCTTCAGCCTTGGCCAATATTGATTCTTATGCTTTCGCCCATGACCATATTTCAAATAAGTACATAAAAAAAAACACTGTTTTCAACACGGCAATGTTTTAGAGCAGATGGGTCAGGAAAGAAACGGCCAAGATTGTTCAAAGATCTGATACCTCCCATTAACGTCCTTCTAGTAATGCAGATATATTCATAAAACAGGAGTATCATTCAATGGAGATACGAAAGTTCCCAAATTAGTGCTCTCAAACACATCTTGCAACTTATCCTGTTTTAAGTTAAGGTCTGAGTTTTCTCCTGTTGTCTATCAAACTCAGTTTTATCATCAGTTATAAACTGAGTGCTTTTATATCGCCTTTGCTGCATTCAACTTAAGGGCTTTTGTGAAACATTTCTATTTGTCTTAATTCACCAAATTTTTTCTTCTTTACCGACAAGCCCAGCGGATTTCTGAAGCCTAAAAGAAGAAATTCAAAAGTGAAATTAAAAGAAAAAAAACGATTCGCATCAACCAAATGTTGCTGCCAGTCGCCTGATAAATCACGGCACTGTGCGAGCCAGCACAATGATAATGGCAATTCACAAATTTCTGTGCAAGAAGAGTAAGTAGTACAGAAATGCGTGAAACTTACCAAGGGTTCGCGCGAGCACCGGCAGTGCCGAACTGAGTACCAGAACTGTCGTACAATTTGCAATGACGCATGTCATTGACGTCTTATGTAGCTGCGGCCGAATTCTTCGCAGCAGAGGTACGGAATAAACGCCAATTACCGAAGCTATCATTATATACCTGGATATATTTTACATCAGTGTATCCAAGTCACTTTTTGGTTCCCCTTAAGATAAAAGCAGCCAGTACTTTTTGTTGTAACAGAAAAGATGCCAGTGATTTATAGAAGAAAAAATAATTGGCCAACGCACGGGCTGCACGTGCGAAGATACGTCTTTCTGCATAGCTCCCGGAGATTTTTGTCGCTAACGGCACTGGCTTTTCCCGCACATGCTTCTAGCTAAAAAAATTCCAGGCTATCCGCCAGGACTGTCAGGAAACATCCCTTCAAAATTCCAGTCTTCTAGCTTCTCACGTCCCCGAGTT